TAGCAACAAAGAAGTAGAAAAAAAATAAAATATAATCAAAAACGTAATCAAATCCTTAAATTACGTCGCCAGTAACATTACTGCTGAGGGAGATAATAATTTATAACATGGAACAAAAAAAAGATTTTTTTTAAAGGTTATAACAAAATTGACCGAAGTGTTACCGCTGCAAAAATTCTTCTAGCGCACTGCAAAACACCTTTGGTTTGACATCAGTTAATAAATCGATTGCTAACGACATTTTTATCAAGATTTAAAATTAGGTAAAAATATACATATTACATATGTCATAGACTGACTCTTAGCAATTGCGACCTGAGCATTAACAGTCTTATTTTACCATATTTTATAAACACTTTTCATAAAAAAAAAAAAAACATTTTATAAATCTAGGAATATTGTATGATTAAAAAAAAAAAAAAAACTTTTTATTTAAACCCCTTCTGTTGAAAAAGCCGTTTACACATTAAGTCAGTAAACAGAAGCAGAGATTGATTTGATAAAAACTGAAACGCAAACCGGGAAGAAAAACAAGTGTATTATAACATTGTTAAAACAGAACTAAATTTGACGTTAAAGCGCAAACCAAGTAATAAACACCGCACCAAAAATTTTCGAAGAACTAATAGAAAGCATATTTTCGACAAGCAAATCTATAAATTCACATATTTAAATATTTAAATCATGTAGTATACAAATAAAACGGTCATCCTTGTAAAAAAAAAAAAACTGTAAAAAAATTTTTTTATAAAAGGAAACTTACTCGGCCAGCTTCCAGTGGCATCTTGCACATGCCAATTGGAGGGCAGTACGATGACGATAATCTTCAGCATCAATAAAAGATGGTACAATTACTGTTTTTTCAAATAACTTGGTTGCAGTTGCAATAGCAAGTTGCTGATCGTTATTTTGGGTCATTCTGTGGAATACTGATTTTCCTTTTTCGCTACGATCATAAATGTTGGCACCGTAAGCGAGGAGGAGATCCACTACACGATAGTCATGGTGGTTAATGAATTCTAGCAAACGATTGCGCATAAATTCTTGCTATAAAATTGCATATTTAAACCAATTCGTATACTTTGACGAATATCATTCCACTAAAACACAAACAACTTTAGTTCAGCATAACAAATTATGCATTTGTGATTGTAGCGACAAACAAATGCCAGTTTGAATTAAATGAAACAAAAACAAACCATTCGAGTACTGCGATAATTTAAGAATTTTAGAATTTCTTCTGCTGATGCACAGTTACCAAGTATAAATGCCACACTTAAAGAATCAATTTTTTCTCCAGATTTCTTCTGCAGTGAAAATTTTGTAATTTAAAAAAATGCAAGCTTGAATTTAATAAGAGCAGTAGAAAACAACAACGTGAAGAAAATACCTGAAAACTAATTGGAGCACCGTGATGCAGAAGTACTCTTACAGAGAAAGCATCGTTAGCTTCTACAGCGAAAAGAAGACATTCGCCATCTACAGTTACATCCAAAAACTGAAGTCAAAAATTAAATTATTTTAAATGAATTATATTATAATCTAAATTTAAAATTGGACTTAATAATATGTTTGCTGAATGACTGGACATACTGAAAATTCTTAAAAATTATAAGGAACTGCTATTTTGAACGCTCAACAATTTTCATAAAACAAAAGGTAATTACCTGGAGTATAATTAATAGAGATAAGCGGTCGCAGCACTGTATTGCAAACTTTATGCTATCCAAATAGTACTTACGATGTTCATAAGGCGACTTATCTATAAAAATAGAGGTTAACTTATAGTAATGGTAAATTCGACATAAACGGTGAAGAGAAATGAACAACTAATGGTGAAAATTAACTGGAAGTACCAGCTCGGAAAGTCTCCCATAGTTCACGTAAAAGTAACTGGCTTTTCATATAGAACGGTCGTTCTGTCGATAAACTATTGGAGCGAACAGATTGAAATGTGTCAAGTTCTGATATTAACCATGAATAGTTTTCCTTCTCACAAAGCGCTACTAAAACTTGAAATTCACTTGAAAAAAGTGTCAAGTGAACAAGAAAAAATAAATAAATTTTCTGAAGAGATATCAAATTAGTGAAAAACAAGTAAATAAATTTTTTTTTGCAGGTGTTTTGCAAACGTTCAATTGTAGTAAATCAATCAACAATTTCACAATAAAATAACTTACAGACGTTCAACTGCAACCCTCTAGTCATTTTCGGAAAAACAGTTTCAAGTTTCTCAAACAAAGGGTCCTAAAACAAAGCAACTGAATGATGGACGAATTTTAAACAACAAATGGAATGTTCAATATATATATAATATTAAGATATAAAATTACTTTGTATGGAAATAACGTAAAATGAGATGAAGCAGAATAAAGAATATTGCAATGACAGCAAGCTTCTTTCCATGAATGGTAGCAGTCAGCATGCATCCAATGTTGTACTCCCAATTCATTACATACTTTCAGTTCGCCCTAAAAAGAGACCAACCCATTTTTAACATAATCCTTTTTAAAAATGAACTTCAAGGAACTGCAAATATTTCTTCCTAAGTTTATTTTTAACGGCCTTATGCATCATTTCTTTTTCAGACTAGACGAAACTTTTACAATTACTTTAATTTGTCTTTTCTTATCATTATCCTTCTCACTAATTAGAAGTGACAATTAGGAGAGAACAATTCCAACTAACTTTACAGTGACCAAATTCTAGACATAGGACAATTTCATATGAAATATTAAAGGAATGATATCTTGAAGCATTTTTCACTTTTTTCAATTAGCAAATGAATAAAATTTCCTTAATGTTCTAGTATAATATTATCATACTTGATATAATTTTAATATTTTCTTTACCAATATTTCAGACAGTTTAAAGTTTCTTTTTAAACGTTTCAGAAGAACTCTAAAACATATAAAATCAACAATCATAAAGCACCTAGCATTTCTTGTTCTTCTTCTAAACTCTTTTAAAGCTCGTTATCATAAAAATTCCTATGTGCTATTTGTTCTTGATTAATTTGTTATACATCAACCGAAATCCATACTACAGCAACCAAGTAATTACCTCCGTGCAGAAAGCATAGCAAACTAGACATAATCGATGTTGGTGAACCATTTCTGAGTGAATCTAAATCACAGTCATCAAAATCGTATTTCAATGGCGTCAATCTCGATAATTTAATGAATTCTGTCTTTCCATAATATCATTTTTTTCTTTTATTTTAAAGCAACAAATAATGTTGCTTTGATATATACGAAAGAATAAGCGGAATACGCCAACAAAAATTCAGTTGTATACCACTAACCGAACAAAATGATTGTTCTACAGTTTTCCCATCAATAATGTTCGATAAAAATGTTAACGCTTTCCTTCGGCATCGGTATTTTATGCCGTAGCGTCGGTTTTCCCCTGTGCATAAACAGTGCACATTCTGTTCTAGAGGTGTTTCGTTTCGACTGAAATGTGTCCATCCTATGCGTATATGAGTTTCTGCATTGCATTAGTTGTTTATTAAGTTTTACATAACTAGTGTAGATGAAAAGAAAGAAAGAAAGAGTAACCTAAGTCTGAAGCAGTAACATTCGCATGGATATTTGTTTTCGCTACTACCAGCAGTACATGGATCAAACTTGCAGTTTGTCTTCTCTTCTTCCATTTCGATGAGCAAAATTTAGTTTTTGTTTTTATGAAAGTTTGAATTTATTACACAACGATAATACTGTCTATACAACAACGACCTGAAACTAGCAAAATACCGGTAAACGTTGCTCGGTTCGAAAAAACAAAAATCTTAACAGTTCCATGGTAACAGAGATTACCATCGCACTGATAAGACAGATAAACGTCCAAACTGAAAGTTACCAACTAACTTCTACCATGGACTTGCACGGGCAAGTCACCGAGTACCTGATTTGTGAATTGTTGAAATTGGAACGGTTGGGTGAGTGGGCGAATGATCATCGCGGCGGGAGTGGGAGAGGTGGTAAGGTTGTGGGTTGGACTTTACTAGTTACTTGCATGTCTTAAGCTATTCATGTGTACAGTGCGCTGATGCTGCGAGTCTTGCAGATTAGAGAAGAGAAATTATGGTGTGAAGGGTTTTGATAGCGCTGTTATTTCTCATGAACTATAAATTTGCAAGGATTGTAGAGAGATTGTTTAAAGGTTTTGAAGAACCGTAAAACTTTAGAATATTAGTTTAATTAGTTTTAAGGACAAGAAGTGCAGAAGTCGAGATGATTTTGAAATGTTCTTAAACCTTCAAATACACATTAACAAAGTGTTTTGAAACTTTCCTCCTCTCTCATCTTCCTTAGAGAATACTGTACAATGATCTATCGTATTCGATCGTCAAAATTAACAGTCTTGGCCCCAGTTAAACGGTTCATTAAATATCTAAGAAAAAAGATGGAGTAGTGCTGGCGAAATATGCGAATTCGAAATTTTTGCATAAAAATTATGTCATATAAGAGATACACAGTTGCCAAAACGCATTTTCTTGTCGCGTTGTTCTTAGCTTTTCCGTACCAGAATGTCATTATAAAATCTCACCATCCATTGGTAAAATTTGATGCATGATCTTTAAACAGATTTGAAACCTTTAAACAAATGATGAAAATACGTTTAACTTAAATTATTTATCAATAAAACCATACGATCACTAATAAAGTTTGCTGTATCGCTGAAAACAAATCAAAAATGTTCATAATGATAGCCACTTTTTGGGACTTTTTGGGAGCAAAAATGTTCATAATGGCTGTTTGTGCTTATTCTCCAACAATAATAATTTTTCAGAATACCTACCTGTGGTGGTGCAAATTCGAAACCTTGTAAATTCGAATTAATAAACAAACTTCTATTAAAACTTTACAGTGCCTTTTCTTAAACTACAAATGTGTATTGAACTCCTATGTATCAGCCGTAAATTTTGCTTCCAGCGATTAGCAATTATTCAAAATAAATTGTTAATTTGAATTTTGTTTCTATTATGGTTTAAGAGTATGCGATCTGATGTAAACCATGGACGTTTGGGACGACGAAATGGGAGAAGCTGCCATGATGGAATGGCGAAACATGTTGATGCAGTGATGAAACGAGCTAAGGACCGTCGAATTGCATTAACTAATACTTCAGAACTAAGAACTGTATTAACTAATACCGGAAGAGGTCTTTTTTAATTACTCATAAACCTTCTTGGCTTGTCTCTTGTAATTTATTTATTTAATGATTTTCGTACTTATTTTTTTTTGGTATGAAAGTAGTTCTCTTTTTAGCACTAAAACACTTTCATATCTTATTTTATGGTTTTAGTCGCTTTTATAGCTTTTTATACTTTTGTCTTTTTTCCAATTAATACAAAAAAAGAAAAAAGAAAGTTTCCATTCCAAACATGGCTTATGCCATGTTTGGAATGGAAACTGAAATTAAATGTTATGCTAAATTCCTCTACTCAGTGATTTTTGACTCCACTCATAATTTTGTTACTTTTCATGTTTGGAACTGCCGATTCTCTGAATTTAAGAAAAAGAATTATTTTCTTCAATCCATTTAATTACTAGCTCACAAAGATTCTAGTCAATTATTATTTTCTTTTAGTTGTGACAGGAGAATTTTTCATTAAAATTTGTGGTTTTCAAGATGTTTAACTTATGGCGTAATTCAATATCGGTCCTTTCAGCAACACAATCTAACGATCACAGTCTGAGTTTAGTCTTCACCAAAACAGACTGTAACATTGTAAATTCGGATCGCCCCGATTCGGGATTAACTTTACTGCTATTATTATAACATTGTAATGATAGTTAAGAAATATGATTTAGTATTAAATTAACCTTTGATTCTATAGGAATATAGTAAACATTTAATAGTTAATCTCTGAAGAACTTTCAGTAGCGCAACGATTAACTCAGCCTATTTCACCTCATAAACGTTTGAAGGAGCGAGCTGGTATTTGGATGTTTGCAAAACAGTCGGAAGTCATTACTGAACCAAATATGATAACGTCTTCTATGCAACGCAGGGTTCCCTTTTATCAATGTTCTTGAACTGCTTGCTTAAATGCTGGGTTTTTTTTTTTTTTTTTTTAAAAAAAATACATTATTGGCAGAAAATATTTTCATGTAATTTGTTCTTAATAGAATGGTTATGTGTAATCTAATACACATAATTGTTTCCGTACATCATTTTTTTTTTTTTTTAAATTTATTTTAGTTCATTTTAGGTTCGAGAGGATGTGCGAGCAGTGATGGCTGAAGATTCTCGTGATAGGCGACGGATGTGGAATAAAGCAGGGCAAGGAGCTGAAAATAGTATTAATCGCAACGTTGTCTTTCGAATGCCATTATCAGCTGATAATATTTTTAGCATCCATCCTTGTTTTAGGTATATTCATTTTTCAGTATATTCGCTTAGTTTCTGATTTCAAGTAACAATTTTTTAAGAATTGTATTTTGTATTAGCGATAGTAAGGAACAAAATTTTGAGAAGGTATCTGCCAATTGTTTCAACACCTCTTGCGTATTTATGTCAACTGTCCGAAGTTTATTCGCTGTTAATGTGCACTAAAACTACTAATCAAAGTGTAATGAGTGTGGAAGATTCTGTACGATACTGTGGCTTGTGATCATTAAGTTTGGCTAAATTAAGATAGCTTCGCCTAATAGGTGCTATCATTATAAATGATGATTAGTAAATCTTAGTATGCTTCTTTAATCTAAACAATTCTGCTATCAAATCGCATTAAATAAAAGTAAAATAAAATATAGAAAATAAGATAGGAGATAAATGGAGATAAATGAATCGAATAAGATAGATAGTAGATATAGATAAATAGATTAGATAGATTTAGGAATTTATAGCTTCGTTTTAGTATCATTTTTCACCAGTTTTCAAATTTTACAGTTTTGGAAAAAAAACAAATCTAAAACTTCCTGTCGACGAAACTGCAGTTTTCAATACGAAAGGCGATAGCACATTATCTTCTTATGATCTTCCAACTACTGCAAAAATTGGGGACAGATATAAAGAGAAGCAATATTCATTTATAAATTGTTTTTTCTTCAAAAATTTTAATATTTAGTTATCTTATTTATAAGAAAAGCTCTGTCCTCATTGATGAGATTTTTAATCTCCCAGTTTTATTATTTTATTTGTTAATTCAATACTTGAGTGAGAAAGGTTTTCTTGTATACTTCTCAATTTTTTTTTCAGGCATAGTAAAGACTTGTGTTTGTTTCCTGCAGATCCTTTATTGCTCGATTACGCAGAACGGATCTTGTCAGCTTTGCCGCAATTATTCCTTCGAAATGACGATTCAACAAGTTATTCCGTCGCTGCAACAAGCATTGTAGCTTGTTCTTTGCGGCGTCATGGTGTATGTCCAAAGGGTTCAAATTTTCAGCAAAAAGAATTGGAATTGTCACAACGGGAGAACGATATGCATGAAGTAGAATATTATTGTTCCATGAATGAATAAAAGACGACTATCTGCTGTTTAGGTTCTTAATATTCGTTTTAGCGGAATTTTATTATTTTTTCCAGAAATTTTGGCGCAGTTTTTTCGAGAATATGTCTCCACTGAATTCGTTTTCGGTAGATTCGGCATTTCTGACTTCTGACTCGTCGTCTGCAAAATTATTTGAATTTGAGGACATTCCAGCCAGTAATGAGCATGTATTATCAAATTCTGATGATGCAAATACTATCTCGGATGTATGCCAATCGCCGAAAACTTCATCATCTAATAATATATTAGGTTAGTACCAATTTTTTATCATATATCTTCTGTGCAGACTTCTCATACTTCTGTCAAGAAATCTGTTCGTAAATGTTGAAAATGGTCGTGTAACTATTAAGCCATTCCAGCAATAGTTCGTTTGGTTATTATACTCTTTTTTTTTGAATTCATATATAAAATTAAAGATAAGTTCGGCCATATATTTCTGCATTATAAATTCAAATATTTTAGATTGTAGCTTTAGCGATTTTCCAAAAATTGGAAAAAATGATGTTGCATCCTTGACAAATTTATCGGTTAACTCAAATGATTTGATGAAACTTGCAATAGACGATGATTTTGGGACAAACATCCTGTGCAATTTACCAGCAGCACAACCTGAATTTGATTTGAATGAATATCATCCGATTACTGTAAACACTTGGTTTGAGAAAGACTCGCCAAATATGGTAATTATTATTCATATATATATATATAAATTGGGAAAATGAAGAGAGTCTTTTTTATTAGATTTCAAATTGAAAAAGACTTTAACTTAATTTCCTAAAAACAATTACATAATTTTACGGTGGAATATTCTTAACCAAAAATTCATTAACAGAAGCTACAAAAAATTTTCTGCTCATTACCTTTTTTTTTCAAAATGCTGTTGACTTGAATACAGAATCTTACAAAGTCAAACACTACTTTTTAGTCAAATGCTAGCAAAGCCATTTATCACAATGCTAAAAACGGCAGGTCATGGCCGATTTATCGACCAATGGAGTATAGTTTTACTGAGCCTGTCATTAGTGAATCAATGAATATGAATCAGTGGATGAAGAATTCCTCAATAAGGTAAACTTATAATTATAGTGTCCTTTCAACTTTTTCCAAACGCACAAACGATATGCTTTATGCAAACCCTTTTGGTCTTTAAAGGAGAGAGAGGTATACTTGTATTACCTTACTGCACGTTTTTATAACTGGCTACATTTTTTTGATCATTCGCGCAGTTACAGGAAAAAAATTCATTCTGGGGTGCCGAATTTTCGTTTCAAATTAAATCATGAAGCATGCAATGCTTTCGATTCTGTTTGCGGTTCTCAGGCCTCACAATTTAGTTTTGATTTCTAAGTTACTTAGTTATATTTCTTGTGAGCCAGAATTTTAGTTTCAGGATTCAGTTTTAACCAGTATTGCATTTGGTTATTTTTCTTAATACCAATTTTCTATAAATTATGGTATGTAAAGTTCACACAATAAATGCATAACTGTATTACTTTTACTTCTATGTTTTGTTACTTTCTCCTTTGATTATATCCTTTTGTTGATTTCATTCATCACTTCACGTTTTGCATTAGCAGCCGAGTTGAATTCGATGCAGCTGATTTTTCTTGATTATAGTATTGTAGTACTGTTGTATAGTACTCTTGTTATTTATCACATGTAATCAACATTAGATGTAAAGTAGACTCAATGCTAGCATTTTTTCACATCTTAAGACCTCATTAAATTCACTGTATTTGATTACAAGTTAATCAAATTTTATTTAATTTCACTTCTTTCATAATTAGGGAAGGAAAAAATATGTTTTTTCAGTAGTACTATAAGATAGTTTTTGTATGCCTTACTGTAAATATGCTTTTAATGATCGTTGTTTATGAATAATAAAGGATTTATTATTACTTGATGTCTAACAATGTGATATTGCAGTTTTATTAGAATTAAATAAACAGCTAGAAGTATATATTATGATTGCTGTTGAAATAACAAAATAGCCTGAATTTAACAATGTTTCATCATTTCAACAGTATCTCGACATGTCTAGCTGTAAATATTCATTGTGTACCAAGAAATTAGAATGGTGAAGTGTTGTTAGTGAAAGACTGAAAATCAAAGGCAGTAGTCGGTGCTGGAAGAATTCAATCAGTGTGATCTAGCACTGAAATGTTTTTTATATGTGATATTGGGATTATCTCTTGTTGATGCAGAGCAAGCCGGAAGTCTTTCAAAAGCACGGAAGTGCATTTTATTTGTTGGTGAAGCATGTACAGGCACCTTGGCTTCATTGCTTATTTTTTGTCATAGTTTCTGAGACATTTTAAAGAGGCATCTTCATCATTTAAAGAAGTTGCAATTTTTTTCCAAATATGCTATGCGATTTTTCATAACTTGGAGCAAATAAATTTTGCAAACAATTTTCTTCTCTTGCCAATGTTTTAATTACTTGGCACTATGAACTAACATTTTGTTTTCAAGCGCTAAAATCAATATTCCTTTAAAAATTACTCATATTTAACGAACAGTTCTATAAAAAAGACTCATACCTTTGGTCTCCAGCAATTTCAGTTCTTACAATAACAACTGCGAATAATTTCAATCGAAATTTTTTTTTTACGTACTATGCAGTGAGATGAGAAACACACAAGAAAAAGAAAAGACAAGACACAAGGAAGAATAATTATGATAGTACTGTATTAATTATCTAATTACTACACCATTCTTTAATAATACACTGATCTGAATAGTTATCTCAAAGAAAAAATTTTAGTCAGAAACCAGAAAACAGTTCAAATAATCTTCATTTTCTTCTCCCAACACTGCTTTTTTAAATTTAATTCCATTTGATTCGGTATAGTAATTTAAACTTTTGTCACAATAGTAATTAAAAATTTTTTTTGATTATTAAATAAATATTCTAAGTGCTTCAGGCTAATATTTGCGCACATATACTTTTCACAGCTCCTAAATAGATTTCGTACAGCTGTTAAAGTTAATATTTATATTACAAAATCAGTTACATACACATTTACGTGAATAATAACCAAAAAGTCATATTTGCAAAAGGCGTAAAGTGATAAAGCGTCAAAACTTTCCCAAACTAAGCCAACAACTTTTTTTTTTTTCACGAAGTTCCATTTTATGCTTGGGGCAAGATTAAGATGGATTCATCATCAAACGAATTATGCTTCCACGCAACCCTTTGATGTCCTATGTCATCAGTAAACCATCTTGCTGATCCGTCTTGTTTCCATAGTGATAACCATGTAGGCATTAGTCTGTGACATGTATGCATTTTCTATGCTGTTTCAAATTGCTAAATTGTAATTTGAGTTCTCTATGCAGCCCACCGTTCAACGATTATTATTTGAAGTTTGCAGAGAAAATACGAATGAACACAGCCCAAGGTACTCTATTTATAATAATTTTTGATCTCATTGTTAAATCAATAAACTACAAATTTTTACACCGAATGACTTTTTAAAATTATTTTACTTAATATTATTCGTTTTGTTCAGAAATGAATATAAACCAAGTTCAGTGGACTTTTTTATACCTGCAATTGCTGAATTCGTTGGTTCATTCCTGCTTACTTTTCTGGGTAAACTTTATCACTCACCAATAATCGAATTCTATGAAAAATTTCGATTTCCGGCGAATTAGAAGAATTTTTGACTTCGCACTAATATCTTTTTTTCATATTTATTTGAAGACGACTCAGAAATTTCTGTTTCAACTAGAATTTCTGCAATTTCAGGTATTTGTTCATATTTGCATACAGTTAATACCCAGCTAGCAGTGTCATTGTTAGATGGTGTTGCTTTGTACACATTGACGTGTTGCTTGGGGCGCTTCAGTGGCGCACATTTCAATCCAGGTAATTTCTCGTCATTTTTTGAAGCGAAACAAATGGAATAGATCGATGATTGATAAGGAAGAGTATAATGTTAAGTGGAAAATCTGCTTTCATTCATAAGTCTGAAAAATTTTCTCCAACTTTTGACATAACATGAAACTCAAATAAATAAATAAATAAATCGAATTTTCAGCACAAACGCTGTCAGTAATATTTGTTGGAAGATGTCGCTTAGCAGTTGGACTTTTCATGATATTTATGCAATTTTTGGGAGCATTTCTTGGCGCCGTTTATGCGCAATGTATTCTGCAAAACAACACATTTGCAGTAGCAATGCATGCAGCGATAAGATGGTCCAACACGGATATACATGCAGCAAATCGTTTGCAGGTGGAAAATTTGTTGCAGAATGTATTGTTAATTCGATCTGGAAGAGATCGATCCAAGTTGGGAAAGTATTAATATTGGAGAATAATCTTGAATAACATGTATTAGTTTGAAATTGCCATAACTCTTACAGTTATTTAGAGAGACTTTTTCTATAAGACAATATTAAAATCGAACTAAGTCATTGTATTCATCAGTTGATGAAATTGGCAGAATATTTGCTGAAATAAATTAATTTATTAAATTCCATCTTATGTTTGCAGTATTTTTTTATGGAATTAACATTAAGTACATTGGTTTGCTGCGCTTACCTGTTCACAGGTGTCATCAGTCATGGTAGGAACGGTGCGTTATGTGCTGCGATCGTATCTACAGCACGAGTAAGATCCTTTTAATATATGAATTATTTGATTTCATAAATTTAAGTTTATTTAGCACACCAACAAGAATTAGTAAGTTAACTTTAAATAGTTAAAGATCAGTGCGACGCTAATACAACTGCTGCAGCAATTAACAATTAATATTTGAAGGAAAGAACTAAAATTTCAGGCCATCGTTACTTTTATTGGATATTCTACTATCGGCCAGACATCAAATCTAGCGAGGACTATTGGCTTGATTTCTACTGCATATATATTTTTGGCCATACGTGATGAATGGCGATTCATTTATATACCTTTTCTTGTTAATATCATTTCCGCTCCTGTTGCTTCCTTAATTTACTGGTTCATTCTTATATGTAGTATATTAGCTCAATATTAAATACTCTATTATCATCCATACTTTTAATAAGCATTTAATGTCTCCTGCAGGAATTTTCAGAATTTTGAAAACATAGGCGGCGAAAAATTTCAGGAATACATTTCTCTTGAGGTTATACATTTTTATTTCTTTTTTATTCTTACACAGACTTATAATCAAATATTTATAGGATATCAATGAAGTATTCAATAGGAAACATTAATAGCATACCGAGAGATTAATTAAATTCAAGAATGCAAATTTTTCGTCGACAAAGTGGCATGAAATTTGCAATGTTTAAATCAAAGAGAAAAAGGATGAAGCAAAAGAGAAACGATCACAGAGTTATGTTAACTATAATTATTGCTGCATGTATTAAACAGTTTAGAGAGTCATTGCTGACACTGTTGATGACGTGGTACCAAGCATACAATTCACTCATTAAAAATCCTACAACGTTTATAATTTAAATTTAATTCCAATAAGTGGAGGCATGAGTAGTGTCACCACTTAATTTATATCAAAGCCTTCAATTTTTTTTAGGAAAAAATCCTACTCTAATTTGCTTGATTATAGAATTATTAAATGCAAATAGAATTTTGACCGTATGAAAAAAAATTCAATGTCTCACAAAGAGGATCATTGTATTTTTGCAAAGATAAATAGTACCGAAAAACGATTTAAAAACTATAATTTTAATTTGAATCAGATCTGCTTTTTCCCCAGCAATCGATATTTGGAGAATTAAATTGCGAATTAGTCATTTGGATTGAAGGTGAATAAAATGGGAATTTTTAGCCTATCAAATGTTCCAAAAGCCGCCGATTGTTCAGTTTACGACTGAAGAATTCCTTTAAAAAACTTCAAATATCTTAGGTTTTAGATTTTGTTCCTAAAAACAATTACCATCTAGTCGAGTTCCTGACAATTTAAAAAGAAAAAATAGAAAGAGGCGGCTACATGACTGCTTAATACTGAATGTTTGAAGAATTTCTGTCTTAACAATTGAAGCTCATAAACATTAAGAAAATATTTAGGATTGTAAAATTAGAGCACACAAAGAGGATAAAACTAGAGTAACATGCAAGTCTAATTTTTTGGCATATGTAAATTTGAATTAGTTCTTTTTCCTAGAAATAATGTCATTTCTGAGAAGCATAACATTTATTGAAATTACAGTGCTGCCTGTTGGCCGGATCGGAATTCGGAATGGATAAAGAAAAGAGTAAGATATCAATGCAGTTGATGAAGAAAGAAGTTGAATTGGTGAATGATATACCATTTTTGATATGCTCAATAAGTAACAACGCACATAAAATTTTTCATTCCAATAAAATAGTTTAAAAGTCATTTCAATAGATTTTTAACT